AATGCTACACTTGAAACATACAAAAAGACAGAATGGGTAAGAATTCTCCAACAAAATAACTGCTGTCTTCAAGAGACTCACCTACACATGAGGACCCAAAGAAACTTAAGGTAAAGAAATAGAAAATGCTATTTCATGTAAATGGACAACAAAAGTGAGCAGGAGTCAGTATTTTTATATCAGAAAAAAACAAACTTTAAAGCAGGACAGCTTAAAAAAGACAGGGAGGGATATTTTATAATGATAAAATTACTTGTTCAACAGAATAAAAATCACAATTCCAAATATATATTCACCTAACACTGGAGCTCCCAAATTTATTAATCAATTACTACTAGACCTAAGAAATGAGTTAGACAGCAGCACAATAATAGTGGGGGACTTCAAGACTCTACTGACAACACTAGAAAGGTCATCAAGAGAGAAAGTCAACAACTATATGCTAGAACAACTGAACTTAACAGATATTTATGGAACATATTACCCAACAACTGCACAATTTACATTCTATTAATTAGGACATGGGTCATTCTCAAAGATAGACCACATAATAGGCCACCAAACTCCAAACTGGTCTCAATAAATTTATGAAAATTAAAATAATATCAAGTACTCTCTCAAACCACAGTAGAATAAAATTGGAAATCAATGCCAAAATAAACCCTCAAAACTATGCAAATGCATGGAAATTAAATAATCTGCTTCTGAATCATAGTTGGGTCAATAATAAAATCAAGATGGAAATTTAAAAATTCATCAAACTTAACAATAATAGTGACAGAACCTTTCAAAACCTCTGGGATACAGTAAAGGCAGTTCTAAGAGGAAAGTTCATAGCCTTAAATAGCTACATCAAAAAGCCTGAAGGAGCACAAATAGATAATCTAAGTTTGCACCTCAAGGAACTAGAGAAACAAGAACAAACCAAACCCAAACCCAGTAGAAGCAAAGAAATAATGTAGATCTAAGCAGGATTAAATAAAATTGAAACAAAAAAATAAAAATAAAATGAAATTGAAACAAACAAAAGATAAATGAAACAAAAAGTTGGTTCTTTAAAAAGATAAATAAAATTGATAGCCCATTAGTGAGATTAACCAAGAAAAGAGGCTGAATAAGCTCAATCAGAAACTAAAGGGGAGATATCGCAACCAATATCACAGAAATGCAAAAGATCATTCAAGACTACTATGAACACTTTATGTGCATAAACAAGAAAACCTAGAGGAAATAAATTCATGAAAATATACAAACCTCTTAACCAGGAATAAATAGAAACTCTTAACAGATCAATAACAAGTATTATTATTGAAATGATAATTTTAAAGTTGCCAACACAAAAAAAACTTCCAGGATGCAAATCAAAGCCACAAGTCAATACCACCTTATTCTTGCAAGAATGGCCATAATCAAAAAAATTAAAAAAAATAGATGTTGGCAAGTATGTGGTGAAAAGGGAACACTTTTACAGTGCTGTTGGGAATGTAAACTAACACAACTACTATGAAAAACAGTGTGAAATTCCTTAAAGATCTAAAAGTAGGGTATCTACCCAAAGGAAAAGTAGTCATTACACACACAAAAATACTTGCACATGCCTCTTTACAGCAACACAATTTGCAAAAAATATGGAACCAGCTCAAATGCCCATCAATCAGGGAGTGGATAAAGAAATTGTGTTATACATATATATACACCATATATATTCTTGTAGTATTATACACACACACACACACACACACACACACACACACACACACAATTGAATACTACTCAGCCATCAAAAGGAATGAAATAATCGCGTTTACAACAACCTGTATGTACCTGGAGATTGTAATTCTAAGCAAAGTAACTCAGGAATGGAAAACCAAACATCATAGTATGTTATCACTCATAAGTGGGGGCTAAACTATGAGAATGCAAAGGCATATGAATGATTCAGTGGACATTGGGGACTCAGGTAAAGGGTTTGGGGGGTGGTGAGGGATAAAAGACTACAAATTGGGTACCGTGTATACTGCTCAGTGATGGTTGCACCAAAATCTCAGAAGTCACCACTAAAGAACTTCTCCATGTAACCTAACACCAGCTGTTCCCCAAAGCCTATGGAAATAAAAAATTTAAATTAAAATAAAGTTACTCCTGAAAAATGAAATAAACAAATAATACCAATTACATTCTTCAATAAATTGAAAAGGAAACCAATTCCAAAATGCAAATTAAGCCATGGAAGAGTATGAATAAAAGAAGTAGTCCGGAGCAAAAAAACCAAAGCTGAAGCTATCATACTACCTAACTTCAAAATATACTCTGAAACTGTGGTAACCAAAATAGCAATATTGGTATAAGAAATAGATGTATAGACCATTGGAACAAAGTAGAAAACCCAGAAATAAATACATCCACACATTTATATATATATATATATATCTAATATTTGACATGGTTATCACGAATATGCATTGCAAAAATAATTGCCTCTTCAAAAAATTGTGCTGTGAAAACTAGATATATAATATGAAGAATGAAGCTAGAACCCTATCTCTCACCACATAAAAACACTTAAAAATATTTAATATTTAAATATAAGGCGCCAAATTATAAAACTACAAGAAAACATAGGGGAAACTTCAGGACATTGGTCTAGGCAGATTTTACGCATGAGACTTTAAAAGAACAGGCAACTAAAGCAAAAATAGATACCTCCAACTACATTGAACTAAAAATCTCCTGCACAGCAAAGGAGACAATCAATAGAGTAAAGAGAATGGAAGAAAATATTTGCAAACTATTCATCCAACAGAAGACTAATATTCAAACTATACAAGGAACTCAATTTGCAGGCAAATGCCTGAATGGTTCATTTAAAGAAAGATCTGAAAAGTGGGGTGACTATTCAGCTCTGTAGGAAAGATGCCTCTAATTTTTTTGGCCACTGGCTCAGGCCATTTGTGTGGTTGTTCCATCTTTAATGCCCAGGCAGCAATATTTATTGTGTCATTTATGTTACAATTGAATTAGTTAAATAATAGGTGGTGAAGGTTGGTCCATAAAGTGGTCTTGCAGGCAGATAAACAGAACTGTAGGTTTCATTTCGGTATTTCTTTCATTGTTTCTATAAAAATCTTTTTACTTCGGTCACTGCCACCAGAGACTTTCATGTTTATGTAGCAATTTGGCATTTTTTTCTGTTTTGTATTTGTATATGTTGAGAGGGACAGATATGAGTGAGGGATGTCTTTTTCTTGTCTTAAAACTAGTTTACGTTGTAACTATAGCCTTTTTTTCCATAGGTATTTGTGATTAAGGAATCACTTCCCTATATAATCAATATCTGAACTGTATCAGGAAACTCCCTCCACCTCTTACCCTGCATGTAATAAAAGTAACACATGCCTTCTATTTTTCCAAGATTATAAAGCCCTTTTTTTTTTTTTGACAGTAAGTGCACATGAGGGCATGTCGTTAGAAAGAGGGTCCATGTGAATGACAAATACTAATGTGCTGAGGAGAGGAGGTACCATCAAACAACAACTGTTTCTCCATCTGTATAACACTTGTCCTCTGTGCCAAAAAGGAAAATTACAGAGATGCAATACAATTTTAAGATGAAAGAAACCCAAAGCTATTAAACAGGAGGTCTGTGTCCACATCTTTTACACAATTAAAACTTCTGTTTCTAAAACTTCATATTTTAATTATCTTACTGGTTGAATTTCATGTGTATATTTTCAAGTAAATTGTTTAACAGATGATCTAACTGGAAGCACCACTCACTAAAATTACAAAATTTGTTTTCAGAGTGCTTCTACAGCAACATTCTTATCTTCTGAGACAAATTAGTATTTCACTTTTTGAAGGCTTTGACTTATATAATACAGTGAAAAAAATGACAGAATCATTTTCAGATCTATACTTTATAAAAATTTTCACAATTATGAATTCAAAATTGTTTTACTATTTTAAGGAAATATTACATATTAATAAATTTATTAACTTACCAAACATTCATATAAAATATAGAAAATTGCTGTATTTTATATAACCTAAAATATCTAAAATGAAGGCAGATTCAAGTGTAAAACCAGGTTGATGAAGCAAGGAAAGTACAGAGTAGTTTGGAAGCAACATTACCTCAATCAAGCTCAAACTTTTTATTTTAGAATTAATGATCCTGGGGTCTAAAGAAGTAAAATAGCTTGTCTTAAATAACACAGCTGGTTATTTGAACAACTAGTAATAGAACCATTATTCTGAAGTATTTCTATAATTATTTCTATTAAAAATGTACATTCTATACTGTAACTTCCAACAAAATGAGAAATTAAGAATTATATCTAATTTTAACAATGGGCGTCAAATCAATATAACTGATTTGTGGTCGGGACACTTCTCCACAGTTTTTTTTTGTTGTTGTTGTTCCTTTAGAGTTTGAGGAAGGACTTGGCATCAGGAAGTGACCCAGATAAGAGAAAAGACTATGCAGCAGACTCACAATCTCTTACAAATACATCACTGCTGGAGTACTTAATTCACACCATGGAATAGGACCAGAAATCACATCACTCCATTTTCACCACAAGATTCCAAACTTAAATCATTCGGATACTTTTTTCCCCTCCTTGGGAACTATTTCTAAAGAAGCTATCCCATAATATATGTGATCAGGAAAGGAAGATTCAAATTACCAGAAGGTGATTTAGAAAAGATTGAGAAAAAGTTATCAAAAATTAGAAAATGGTGGCTATAAAAGTAATGCTGAAGAGAAACCCCAAATCACTTCCATCAGAGGATATAGAGCAATCATCAGTACGTGTATCCTTTGGTGACACAAATTCCTACCTTCTTCTGTCTCTTACTCCTTTTCCGTATTAAAATACAACTGTTTTTCACCTTCTATTCCTTCTTCATCATTGTTATTTTTGTGTTTAATTTTTAATCTCCTAATCTTGCAAGTTCCTGCTTCTGCTTTTTCTTTTTTTTCCAGACTAAACCCCTTGTTTTATTTATTTTTTTAAATTTAAGATTGAAACAGGCTATTACAACAATATTTGATATTCCACAGAGAACTGCATGCTTTTGTTATTAAAAGATTGTTGATGGAAAATTTGACCTTTACCTCTTATGAACTGAAGAAATATAGAGGTTTCAAACATTTTTGCCAGCACACAGTCATTCACAACAACCTTCTAGATTATTATTTTCTACCTTTTCCTACAGAAGGTAATATTCACTTACCAGAAAGCCATCACCAACACTGAATGATTCAAAGCTTCAGAGCTCAAAAGTAATCAGAACCCAGAAATTAGTATAATTAGTTCAAAGCTTGATTTAAATGTTTGAAGAACGGCAGAAACAAAATAATATAATACCAAATATAACATTATAGTCTCTATGAGGTAATAACTTATCAGCTACAACCACCTAAGACTGAAATATTCTGTACTCAGTTTGTATTAGTACAATGCCTTCATTCTTAATGCTTCTTAGGGCATCACAGGTTTTAGAAATTAATGCTTTTTAGCATTCCGCAGTAATGATCACTTTCAAAAACTACAATATACATCTGCATGTTACACTGCATACAACACAAACATTTAGCCCCAAATAATAGAATACAAAGAGCTATACAGGACAAAAGACCACAGAACTTTTGAATGTTCCCTTTTCCCAATTTTTAACAGGTAGCACTTTTTCTAAAGAGAAAGTGACAAAAAAATCTGAAATGTCTGCATCTAATGTTTGACTTCAACTTTCTGCTTTATCGACTCCAGGTACTACCATATTCTGATGCAGTTCTGGTTTTCGTGTTTGAGTTTGAACATGATGAATTGCCGCCCGAGTCTCCACGAAGGGGTGAGTAAACGCGACTATTCTATTTGTCAGATTAGGAGGGAGGATAGGACGGGTACCAGGAGTCCGAGAAGGGTGTTGCCACTCTATTGGTGCCAAATAAATATCCTAACATTCCACCAGTTCCCAAGCCAGTCCAGAATCCTGGTCCTGAAGTTGCACCAGGGCCAGTATTCTGTGGTCCTATGAACTCAGACTTAAAGCCTCGGAGAGGAGGACCTGCTGAGTTGGTGAATCTCTGTTAACGGTGGGAAAATGGAGGATACTCAGAATACGGTGGAGGAGAATACTGCTTATCACTCGGAACAGCTTATAGACTACAAAGATGATCCTGAGGAGCATCACGATGGTGATGAATCCACCCATGCTACAGGAATCCGTCGAGTACCACTTGTAATAATAATCAGAGAAAGGGGCACAGCCGTGCTGCTTTCCAGACTCCGTCAGTGTCTGCAGGCCGAGTTCCGTATAATCTAAATCATACCCCAAACCACAGGAGCCTCTTGGTACATACTGGTCTTCAGAGGACTCATAGCCTTCACAGATCACCACAGTTTTCCCAAATTTGTATGCAATATCTTAAGTCGGTCTTACCTTCTCTCAGCATTGTTCCAGCCCAGGGCAGTGTCCGCGGTCAGCAGAAGCAAATGCAGGCTGAAGAGCAGGCAGTCTCTGTCCGCTCCCGGCCCGCAGGCTGTGGCCATCGCGCTGGGTGAAGATGGCGCCGGGCGGCCAGGCGCCTGCGTGCCGAACGCGGGTGCCGTAGCGCGCGCTGCGCTGCGCTGTGCTGCGCTGCGTGGTGACGCCGGCACTTCTGCCGCCGGTGAAGGGAAGAGCTGCTTCTGCTTTTTCCGAAGAAGACTTAGAAGGTAAAAAAAAAAAAAATTTAAAGCTAACCTTGTGCCATTACTACTCATCTCTAATCTCCAGTTTCAGCAGCTGTTTTCACACCCCAAATGCTGGCGAAATGAATGAAAGCATAGGGAAAAGGAAAGGAGAATATCACCATCTGTGGAGATTTAGCAAGAAGACTAATGAAGTAGAGAAAGAGTCAACTCTCTGTATTTTCCTATCCCCTCTTCCTACACAGTACATACTTAAAAATGTAACAAGTGCTTGTCACTGGCCTCAGCCTTCGCATGCTCACATGTCTAGTTAGTTAGAAACAAAGCAAAATAAGCTAATGTGGGAAAATATAAGATTAAAACTCAGTTTTACTAATCCGTACACATATAGCCCTTAGTGGATTAATGGATGACTTAAAGATGTATGGAAGGTAAGAATGTGAGAAAAGAGGCCGGGCGCGGTAGCTCACGCCTGTAATCCCAGCACTTTGGGATGCCTAGGCACACGGATCACGAGGTTAAGAGATCGAGAGACTCATCCTGGCCAACATGGTGAAATCCCGTCTGTACTAAAAAAAAAAAAAAAAAAAAAAAAAGACAAAAAAATAGCTGGGCATGGTGGCGCACACCTGTCGTCCCAGTTACTTGGGAAGCTGAGGCTGGATAATTGCTTGAACCAGGGAGGGTAGGTTGCAGTGAGCAGAGATCGCACCGCTGCACTCCAGCCTGGGTGACAGAGTGTGAAGAAAGAACGTCCTACAATGCTTTTTCCTGCTTAGAGAGATGTGCAGGGACACAGGGCAAGACGAAATGATCACCTGTAATTATAGGTTTCTTCTTTGGATACATGTCCTACAAAATTTATGTAAAACAATGGTAATTTCTTAGAGTTTTGGAGAAAGGGTGAAGTGTTATAGTAGGATAAGAGGAGCCCACATTCAATTCTGTTTTAGTTAGAAATTGATAGCAAAGAAATGAGGTAATCCAAAATATATTAAAAAATCGATTCATTCCGATTGGTCATTTAGATAATCTCCATTTTTTTCTATAAGAAGCAATGCTGAAGTATGTTTTCATGTACGAACATGGTAAAATTTCTCAAAGATATAGACTTAAAACATTTTTAGATTATGGGGCATAAGCATCTATGAATATTCTATAAACTATCAAGCTAACTTTAAAACTGTTGTAACAATTTGTATGATCTATGAATAGTGCAAGAGAATTCTTTCTCCAATATTTACCAAAATTTTTAATGTCCAACTTTTGCCATTTTGATGGATAGGGAAGAATGTCCTGTAGGTTTAACTTATATTTCCATAATTAATAATGGGACTTATCATCTCTTACAAGTTTATTTTCTTATGGCTTGCATATTAATTTTCTTTGATTTTTTTTCTACACTTGAAATTCTTATTTTGGACATACATTTTCATGTTAAATACATAACAAAAATGATTTTCTTGTCTCTAGCTGGCATTTTTATCTTGTTCATGAAGGCTTTTGACAGATGGAATAATTTTATGTTTAATATGGTTAAATACATTAATGTTTCCTTGAAGGGGTGTGTGTGTGTGTGTGTGTGTGTGTGTGTGTGTGTTATGTGTGCGTGTGAATGTTCACTTAAGAATATCTTCTCTTCCTGAAAATTATATAAATAATATCAGCTATTTTATTCTATTTAGGGTGTGCTTTTAATTTTTTAATAGACTTGGAATTTATACTGTGCATGGCAGTATATACTTGTAACTTACTATTTTGCCATGTAAACAATTATCTCAATAACATTCTTGAATGGTCCACCATTTTCTGACTCAACAAACTATTAACAAAATCAAGTATGTCTTGCATTAGCTTTGGGATAATTTTTGCTTCTTTGCATTTTGTCTGCATATGTATCACCTTTTATTTGTTAATAACACTAAATGTTCTTCAGCTGGAAATTGAGATGGTTTTGACTTACTGAAATATGAAAAAAATAACTCTCTAATTTGATTTAAAATATCAGAGAGCCTTCAAGACAGTAAAGGAATTGTTGGCCCAAGATCCTAGAAGGGAGGAAAGCGATGAAAGTATGATTCATCCGTGTGCATCATTTCCATTTGAAATAATAGTCATTGCCTAAAGCAGTGTTTGAGAATCTGAGAATCTGAAAAGTATTTTCAAAGAATTGTAGGTTCGGAGGCTATATTTTCGGTAAAGTCTAAAGAAAGACCTGTGATAAAGGCCCTAGCATAAATTGGATTCCTAAGTGTCTATATCTAAAAAATAAAAGCAAACTAGAAACATATCCCATAAGAACTAAAGCTTAGGTTTAAATCAACTCTATAATTGATTAATTCTATGAGGACTGATAAGTATCTAAGCATAAGTGACCACCACATGTATAAAAATATAACTTCTGTGAAGAAAAGTAGGATCATTAAGAGTCTTAATATATCTTTGTAATATTTAATGACCAAACATATAAAGAGACATTTGCCTGAAATAAAAGAAAAAGCAAAAACAAACCATTGAAATAACGTGCAAGGATAAGTTAGACAGTGTTGTCATCAGGCACATCTTTTTAAAAAAAAGAGTATAAAATGATGATAAAAAGATTTATAAAATGGTAATTTGGGGTAGAAAATTTGAAAGTATGTTAAAATGATAGAACTGAGTACTGCAATAAATGAAACTTAAAACTAAAAAAAATGGGTTTAGGGGCATAATGCCTAAGCTGATAATAATTCAGTGGGAATTGGAACACAGGTCAAAATAATACATTCAGACTGAAACAGAAAAGGCAGCAAGAAAATAAAGACAAAAATAAGAGACAAAGGCAGCAAGGAAATAAAGACAAAAATAAGAGACAAAGGCAAGTGGTGAGAAATATCACACATATATTTTTGTAGTTTCAAAAAGAGAGAAAAAATCAGCACAGTAATACTGAAAGAGATAATGGTTTGGATTTTTCAAGATCTTTTAAAATTATCAATGTTATAAATACAAAGAAAACTGCTAGACATACACATCTGAGAAAAACTGAAACAAAGTCTGTAACTGTCTCCTAATAAACAATAGAAGCCAGAAAATAATGGAAGGATATGTTAAAAGTGCTAAAAAAAAAAAATGACTTGCAATCAACAATTCTTTATCTTAAGCCTAAGAAAACATATCAGAGGTAAAATTCCTATTTTTAAGGGAAATAAACAAAAAAAAAAAGCAAAAAAAAGAACTAAAAATATTCATCCATCCCAGCACAGACTCAAAGGAAATAATAAAAAGTGTTTTCTCTATAGACAAAAAATAGTATCAGATGGAAGGGTTAGATATGCAGGAAAAAGTGAAAGCCAAAGAAAGTATAAATATCTGGATTGAATGAACATTAATGGAAACTAACTTTATAAAATAATAATATGGTATTGGAAAGTCTAAAGTGTACATAATGCTAAAATAAACAACAATGACATATATATTGAGAGATGGTAAAAGATCTTAAGTAGTTTGCATTTCTAGTAAGTGGCAAAGTATTAATATTAAATCTGATGTCAAGATTTATGTTGCAATCTCTAGGATAACAAGTAATAAAAAGTGAAGAATGTGTAACAATAATCTGATAACGACATGATGACAAGATCAAATCTGCACATATCAATATTAACCTTGAATGCAAATGGGCTAAAATAAAATTAAGAAATCTATATGCTAGTTTTTATAAAAACAATTATGCATATATACCGCAGCCAAGACAAATCAAGGAAACTGGGAGTAAGTATGAACAAATTAGAAAAGAATGCTATATAAAATGTTTTGCCAAAAATATATTTGAAAATTTAGTTGAAATGCACAAAATTCAAGAAAAAACTTGTCCAAATAAAATCTGAATATTCCTGTCTTTATTAAAATATTAAATTCAAAATTAAAAATATTCCTTTGAAAATATCATTAATCAATGATAGCTTCCCTGCTGAATTCTACATTTAAGAAATTAATTGTGTAAACCCTACAGAAACTCTTCCAGAGAAGAGAAAGTGAACACGAATATACTTAATTCTTATTTGAGTTCAGTATAAACTTTATACCATTAATATAGCCCAATATTTCATTTACCCATATATGGCAAAGTTGTTGATAAAATATTAGCAAATTCAATCCCCATTATTGATACAATGTTGAATAGATGTGTTAATCCAAGTATCCTTTTCTCATTCCAATTTCGAGAGAACTTTTTCATTATTTCATTATTAAGAATAACAATTGCTATAGAATTTCTGTAGCTTTCTTGGATTAATACATTTACTTTAGATCTCTAAGTTTCCAAAATCTTTTATAATGACTGGTTATTGAGTTATTGAATGCATTTTTAGATTTATTAAAATAATCATATATTTTTATTAACTGCATTAAGAGAAAAAGCAAAAACAGTTAAAAGAGAAGCATGAAAACTATTATTCAAACATAACTTGATTTTCTGAATTGAACATTGAATGAATCCACCTATGAACAATGAAAAGTATTAAGGGGATATATATGCAAAGCCAATTCATAATATATGTTGAGTTTTAAAACTAAATTATTAGCATGAAAATACTTAAGATAGCAACAAAACACTGAGAAAACTAACCAATGAAAAGTTGAAAAGAATTCTGCTTAGAACACTGCAAAATACTATTGAGAATACATGAAAAATATATAATAAGAAGATATAAATGGTTATGAAATAGAATACTTAATATAATGGATAAGTTATTTCTTCCCAAATATGTCTATAGATTCAACATAGTCCCATACTTAACCACAGAATTTTTGGAATGGAACAAGGTAATTTTAAATTTATATAGAATAAAAAGAGCCAAAGTAGGATTTATTTAAACAAATAGTAAGGGTTATTATTAAGCTACAATAAATATTGGCAGTAGAATAGACAAATAGACCAATAAAATATAATACAACACAAAATTCTTTCACATAGGAAAGCTCACTAGATTTGTGACAAGTTTTATGAAGTTTCATAGAAGAAATGGATGGTCTTCT